GTGTAATTACTTAAGCGAGTAAGAACAAAAAAGATGCTTACCCTTATCAATTTATTTAATGTGCTTTCAAGCCGGATTCATGCTGTTTAAATTCAACTGATCCATATGAATAGGAATGTTCTACTCCACTAGTGACAGCTATTGTATTACGTTAGTTAAAATCAAATTACAAGCAATACTCAGGGATAACCCTCATACAATAGCGGCTTGGTATGGATATCACTTAGACATTATTAAATTCATAAACAGTCTTCAAATGTAACTTCTCTAATCCTTATAAATGACTAAATTTAAATATATTAAAGGAAATACTTACAGTTTGTTTAACAATGGATAGACAGGACCGAAACAACTTGAAAACAATACAGACATTCAAAAAAAAATCCAAAACTATAAAATAGATAAATACACCAAAGTCAAATCAACCCCTAAAAAAGGATGAATAGTATGTTTCTTTTCCACTAGTGGCAACTGTCGTGTTGTTCATGACAAGTAAACATCCTGAATAAGTCTTAAGTCAGTAACTAGGAGAGGAATAGATGTGCCCTCAATAGCCACTGCATGCACTGCTTGTGGAGTTTTCGTCCACGAGGGCATCAGCAGCCTAGTCGACAACACTCATGTGTTGGCATGATATAGTATTAAGTTTTTTTATCCGATGTATTAACGACCAAAGCCAATTTTGCACAACTTGTTGTTCCTCAATGCTCTTCAAGTTTGTACTTGATTTGGCGTTTTTTTCAACTGTTTTGTGTCGGGCGCGGCTAATGAGTCTTATTTATACTAAACGCTGGTTATCAATGCTCAATCATAAGACTGATACCTTTGATTAGATTTGATTAACTGTTGGATCGATTCCACTGCTGGTTGGAATTTCGTCACTAAGGTTATCACCAGCCCATGTTTAGCACTCCTATTTTATTTTATCATTATTATCAAAGTTGACTTTACATGAATTTGACTATTCTTATTTTTTCCTATCGGTCGTCACATATCTCCTAACGTTTCTCTGTATTTGTATATCCCTGGCTTTCAAATGTTCAGGTTTGAATGTTCCTGAAGGTAAATCCAGAAAAAGCTCTTTGGAGAAACGAAATTTATAATGTGTTATTTTCATATACTCGAAATACGCTGTTACTACTATTGGGTCAAATACCGCAGACTATGAGTTCTGCACGAGGTTATCATCCAGCATGTAGCCAAGGCGTTTGTACTGGCATGACTGAAACGATACATCATTTTGTCTGTACATTTCCGGTGTAGAAAGGTGATTCTAGAAACACTTGACGTCATATAGAAATCAACATGGTACTTTTTTTTATATAATAATTGTCAAACAAAAGAGAAACTGATTTACACTTTTCGAAAAAAAAACATAAACTTACCAAATGAACCTAGCTACCCACACTGTAAATGTCATTTATAAATAACTTGGTGTTCTTCATGGCGTTTCGTCTCTAATAAACTATAAATTATACCATCAATTGATTCCTGTTGCAAGGATAATGATAGCAAATGTTTTGCTGAACGATACCAAAAACTGAACCCCAATACATGGAAATAAAAGAAACTATCAAACAGAAATTTAATACTGAACTAAGATTAAAACAAATTCAAAGTTAATTTATATAATGTTTATTCTGAGCTAGTAATCAGTATGACTCTGTTATTTTAGTAAGTTATGTATAGTTGCATATATTTTAATTCAGTGTAGTATGGAAGTCTTCCGCCATCTTGCATTGTAAAATAGCAAATCACAATAGGTTTAGATTTCAATCGAGTCAGCAAAATTGAGGAATGCAATTTATTCATAAGAATTTTCGTTTAAATGAAAAAATGTATGAAGTTTTTAACTTATAATTACTAATAGTTTTACAAAGGTAGATTAGTGTTGCTTGATTTTAAATATTTTTAACCTAGAGTTTTAGAGGTTCATTCGAAATTGTTTAATTTATACAGGAATCTACAGGAAATTGTCTTTTTTATGTTATAGTAGGCAAAAAATTTCGATGATCCTATTGTTTCATTTGATATTCTGAAAGATTTTATAAGACCTATCTTCTAATATTTATTTCTAAATTATATCATTTATTGTACCTTCTATTCACCGAAGGATGTTTTTCTTTGTATAATCAATACAAAATGTGTCATTTTTCACAACTTTTAGCTTGAAAACATGCTCGGTGACCTATCATTTTTTATATATTTTAGAACGTCACAATATATACTACATTTTGGCAAAGTATGAAAAATGTCATAATTTTTCGTATATACTCCCATACCGCTTTAAATCTTGACTGTTTTTTTTTTTTTTACATTTCTTTCGTTACAAGTTTAATTTAAATCTTGTTTCGTTCAATTGGTCATGTTTATTTTGTTTTTTTTTTTAGTTTTGATAAACAAGAATAATGATATTATATTATTCCATTTCAATATTATTACTGTATGAATATTTTGAAGAAAAACAATTTGCAAACAACTAAACTGATACAAACAAATCACCTATTAAATTTCTGGCATTTGAAACCATGTAGACTAAGGAGTAGGCTCACAAAGGGTAACTGTTGCCATTTAAAATCAAAATATGGTAATAATCATAATTATTGAATGAGTATCAGTCAAATACAAAACTAACAAGCTTACACAAATCCCATCATTACTCGTGACGTCATAAATGCACACCTAATGGGAAATTCATAGTTTTACCTTTCTTTACAGAAACTTGAGATAATTTTTCCTGCAGACAACACTGAAAAAAACCAGTTTTTTTTACATTAAAAAATTCACAGTGGTAGGAGGGTGAGTTTCCCACAAGAAAAAGAACTTTCATCATACATTTAAACAGCAAAGTAAGGATTCGACCATTTGGTATTGTGGGAGGGAACAGGAAGATCTTTATTTTATTTTCAAGCAATTCTAAAAACTAAAAACTATTATTTATTTTTTGCGACATGATTACTGCATGAATATTTCATATACTACATTTCCAACATTTTGAATATTTATTATTAAGCTGTATTTAGAAAGAATTTCTATTTTCGTCAGTTTTAAAAAGGCAGAAAATATCAAAGGGAGAATCAAAATTCATAATTCGACGAAAGACTAAAAAAAACATAGAAACAAACGAAAAGAAAAAAAAAATACAAACAACAACACGTGAGTCGCCGAATTGATGTCGACAAAATCATGGCGAAATAGATAAAAGACGAAAAGACTATAACAAAGTCTACAAAACACTGCATAAAAACCTAAAGATTGAGCAACACGAACCCCATCAAAAAAGCGTTGACCTGTCATTTATTTTCAAAATTCTCCTTCCCCCTTTTACAATAATATCAAATGACATTCCACTTATACTGTCTACAACATATAGTGAAGAGGTTAAGATATGTAAAAAATAGTTTAATTCCGCCACATTTTTGTGTATATGTACCAAGTCGGATCGCGTCTGTTGTCTGTGAATGTTTTAAGTCAGTTGAAGAATGTGATGCTTATGCTAGATCATTGGTAGTCCTGATTTTCTCTGACTATTAATGACGTCTTCACATCTTAATCCATTGGATGTTGGATGTGTACTCATTGATACTTTAGTCTTAGATACATGATTTTTTATTAGTTGTTATTGGCTTTGAACTAGCTGTCAGTAACTGTGAGTACTCTCAGATCTATACTTAGCGTCTTTGTTGTTGTTGGGATGTATAATAAATACCCTGCCACGTCCAGTCTGTGTATTTGTTACTTGTTTTTCTGCTTTGTATCGATCTGATGAGTGAAGCCCTTTTCAACTGATTTTGATATATTGTTCATATGTTTTACTGTTACATCACTGTCCCAGGTTGGGGGGAGGGGTGCCCGCAAACATGTTTAACCCCGCGACATTCTGTATGTTCATGTACCAAGTTAGGAGCCTGTAATTCAGTAGTTGTCGTCTGTTGCTGTATATCATATGTGTTTTTGTTCATTGTTTTGTACATAAATCAGTCCGTTAGTTTTCTCGTTTAAATTGTATTACGTTTGTCATTTCGGGGTCTTTTATAGCTGACTATGTAATATGGGGTTTGCTCATTGTTGAAGGTCGTACGGTGACCTACAGTTGTTAACTTCTATGTCTATTGTGGAATTCAACTAGCCTACGATTCACTTTGTTGTTTTGTCTTTTTAGACAGCTGTCTCATTGACGTATACTCTACTTCTGTTGTTCGTAGTTAACATTAAACAAAATATTTAATTTACTTTCAATGAATTATTTTACATCGAAAATATTACTAGTAGTTTAGACATCATGGATCAAAATTTGGGGTCGAATTTAATTCTTGTTCTTGTTCTCCTGTGCCATCAGTAAAATAAACGATATATAAAACAGGAATGATTTTGTATAGAAGTTTCATTTGTAATTGTTTAAAAATGTAGATTTAGCAAAATTGTAAAGAATAGTAAATTTTTTGACTGAATAATAAAAATAATAAGAAGAAAAAAATACAAAATAGTAATGCTAATAATAATTATAATAAAAATTATGGAAATAATAACGTTAATAAAATCTTTTACTTTCTGATCGATATGGTAGAATGATATGACTAAAAAGTAAATTTTCTGTGGTTTTAATTACTTGATATCGTCATCTCTAATCCTTTATTACATCCGTTAATATAATAATAACATAATGTAAATTAGTTCAATAATTTGCCAACCCTTAACAATGAATAATATCTTTTTCTCACTTATTCTATTATTAAAATGGCTGACTTCTAACCCTCATCAGAGTCCTATTACTACAGCTTTCACGCGACGTGTTATTGACTCCGCCCTCCTAACAGAACATCCAATTATGATCTGTTTGGGTGTTAATTTCACATCCTTTACTGAATATGGACGGGAAATGAGAATAGTTGAAAATTAAATGCTAAATCGATTCATAAAAATTCACAATTATACACGCATAAAAAGGAAAAGGCACCAATGAAAAGAAAAGTTAACTTAAATAACAAATGACGCTCTCTCTGACCAACTAATCTATCGGTTGTCATTATCTCCTTTGAGTTTGTTACCAGCAATTTTTCTTGTCGGTTCAGTGACTTCTAGCACTGATTGTATACCCGGTTTGGTACATATTACACCCTACTCAGCCAAAAAAAGGTAATGTGTCGCTTGACAAAACATTAAATTTGATAATCAGACCTTGTGAAAAGAAGATTATTTTTTGGAGAAGAAATTAGCTCAATTCAACAGGAATAATCTTTCTGCAGAAAAAAGAAACCAGTGGTTAATTACTTATATCTTATTTAAAAGTGTATATGGTAAAATTTCTAATTTAAATTGGAATCAGAGAACTTGGACCGCATCGTAAACAGTACAACATATAAGGAAAGGATTATCAAAATGATGTGAAAAATGTCTTATTTGAAACTTAAACTATACATTTAAGAAACCTCAATCATTTATAAGTGAAGAATTTTTTACGCAACTTTTAAAAGATGTCACGATCAGCATGTGCCTCTCCTTGTTCTGCAGATGAAGAGGAATCAATTAACGTTGAAAAATGTGATTCAGATGACGAACAGACGACAGGAAACAAAACAATAGACAAATGTCCATTACAAAATTCAGAAAACTTAGTGTCATCAAATAAGTGTAATATTATTGACAATACTTTTCCTAGTCCGCCAAGAAGATCTTTCTTTATAACTGACATTTTATCAGATGCTAATAAAAACACTGGAAACCTCTCAGCATTCAAACCTCTACGGGTTCCAACAAACTTTTTCTCCTCACAAACCTTATCAACGTCAGAGGATCCGTTTAGAAGAGGATTACAACTAGGACAGTTTAAAGGTCCACATGGTATAGGTCTGGGGAAATCTTGTTCTGAAAGTGTCAAGTCGGATGAGTCTGAAGACGACGATGATGATGATTGTGAAGGTATTCTATCTCTTTGACATATTCCCCATTTCCATTCTCAATTTTATAAAAATTAAATTAATAGAAAAAATGATATCGGGAAAATGTTTACTCTTTCATACTATACGGCTAATGTCAGTCAACCCAAGAACTTACAGGCGATTTCGTCATTATAAAGTATGAAATAAAATAGCGCTATACGAAAAGTTACATAATGAAAATTAATTAAAAAAATATTCAACGAAAGTAAAAAGGAAGCTGTTCTCATTCATTAATATTATTATTATTATTATTATTATTATTATTATTATTATTATTATTATTATTATTATTAAACAAGCAAGAATATATTTAACACTGCTGAATTATTAAGATATTGCCAAATGACAAAAAATGTAAAATTTGCTATAAATCTATGAATTTCCAGGCGTCATTTTTGTTGGACACTTTCGGATTTCCAGTATTTGGTTTCTAGCATCAATTATTCGTAGTAAATTGACGTGCGCTATTTTGTTCATCACATTAATTTTGGTTTCGCATAATTTTGTATTGGTATTGTAACATCAATATTAAATAGTCATAATTAAGACAAGGATGAATTGCTGGATATTCAAAGAAGAATTAAAAAATGTATTAATGAAAGTTTTGAAATTAATATGAAAGGGGAATAATTGAGTTATAATGAAAAATCAGTTTGTTTGAACTATTACAAACTACGTAATGATAAGTTTTATTCTCGATAGAGGATAACATAATTAAAACATTATTTCATTGGAATATTATTAAATACAAATAGTATTGGCTTTACTTATTTATTCAGACATGTAATTGTTATTTCAATTTTATTATATATTTACCTTTTGTTTCTTAATATTTCATCCTCAGGTTTTACTTAAAATATTTATATATTATTAAAATTCAATTGATTTCAAGACATTTACTTATGGCATTCATTTTAATTGATCAAACATAAATATGATAGTTTATATGTCTGTTCTATTTTTTTTTTATAGTATTGTATATATATATATATATATATATATATATTTATCTTTTGTCAAAACTTACATATAAAATGATTCATAACATATTTGAATTTAAAAACACACATATTGTATAAGGTTGCGTCAGGTTAGTCCAAAGGCGAGGGAAAATAAAATAATGCAAAAAGGACAATGTTTAACGTCAATATCGTATTTATTTAATTAACTTTATGTCATGATATGTTGTTTAAGATACATATAAAGCTTCTTTTGATGTTTAAATTGCGGTTTTCATATATACACAAAAATATATATTGTAAGCAAACATTGCATATCAGTGCTCAGAGAAAACTATTAGAAAAATACAACAAGTACGTGATGTTACTGTGATAATAATAATAATAATAATAATAATAATAATAATAATAATAATAATAATAATAATAATATATTGCTTTGAAGCAAGCAGGGACTTTAACTGTATCATGCAGTGAATAATACAAAGAGAGAGGGTATGTACATTCCCCTCTAACCGTGTCATTTCGGAATTTTTAAATAACCATGTGAACATCGGTGATAAAAAGTTTGAACATTATTTTCAAAAGTAAAACCCATAAATCATTCGTTGAACAAATGAATGGTCTAATTATAAAGAGTTGTATTTTAATATTTATAGCAGTTGTGTTACATTTTGTACTTTTAACGATACAAAAAGTCAACATTAACATCGAAAGAATTTTTCTTCAGATTAACGATTAAAGCTTAAAAATGATATTTTATCTATGAGGGATATTTAGAGGCTATATATGATGTCACAAACAAATGATTTTACTCTTTGTTCGTGCAGGTGTCGACATATGCATGTATAACACATTTCTATATAAACTGAAGCAAAGACTGCACCGAAGTGTTATTCGAACAGCAAAATACCACCAATTTACACGTGTAAGATACATGTATATTGCATAAAAAATGGTTTATACATTTACGTATACATAAAGCTTTCTCGGGACGATAATATTGATTGATAGTTGTTTGCTTAACGTCCAGTTACCAATATTCCAAACTTATTCAGTATGAGAAAAAATCTTAATGTTAGACTGTGCAAAGTGTCAACAAGGATGACATATTTGGACTGCTACTGAAATTATATCGAGCAAGAGATCATTTGTCGACCCCTCAAGTAGTTGTTGCAAGGGTTCTAGAACGTGTAGAAAGTTCGACACTTTCCGACCGGGTAGATCGGATTTACCGGCTTCATTCTAGCTAAACGTGACTGATTATTTATGCATCGCACACTTCAAAAGGGATACCCTTCATTAGTATCCACTTATTGTCGGATGGGACAAGTCCAGGTTACCATATTTGTATGACCTAGTCAAACCCAAGGTTGAGGTTTACACGATTTAAAGAAATGCTTCTTTGATTAAAGATAATAAACGAGAAATCAGAAACAGCAATATACACGCCAAGATTACCCAAAATTAGGAATAGCCACTAACAGATAGCCTAGCCATCTTTTTCTGTATGTCCACTTAGTCTATGCATAGAAGATTTTTTCTATTAATCAACAAATTTGTATTTTCATGTATGGTTATCTGTTTATAAAAATGACGTCATAAACATACAAAATATGTTACCATGTACCACAGTAGTCACTGTGGCATCGTTTTAACTGATCTCTTTGGGTAAGATGGTCTCTTTGCCATGCAGGATGTATAAATATACAGAAATGAGTATATCTTGCTTTCTGTACTTAAAGATTCATTTCTTTACATTTCAAAAGATCGAGCATGAAATGAAGAGTTTCAGCAAAATTGATGAAATGAGGAACTGGCAAAATTTTGAATATTTCGCGGAAACCTTTTAATTTACAGAACAAAAAAAGAATTGTCCTTTTATATATTAAGTTAATTAGCTGTTTATCTTAATTAAATTTATTCATTCATATTATCAAGTTCTCGTACACTACCCCAGTTTTAACAGGCAACTTCCCTAATGATACGACAAATGTTTACAATAAAATTGAGAATGGAAATGGGGAATATTTAAAAGAGACAACAACCCGACCAAAGAGCAGACAACAAATATTTTTTCACGATATCAATTAACATTACCATATTTTGATTCATAAACTATTTGCCACTGGACGTAAAGCAATCAAATGCATTTATGTGACAGACAACGATGAGATACAAGAAGATACTACTTATTTAGTTTCTTTAGCTGTAATGCATATCTTTCTAGCATGTTATAGATGTGTAAAGTAAAAAAAACAGTTAATATCATCGGTCAAAGTTACTATTTACCTACCTGCCTTTGTACCCTAAAATCGCTTATCAAATAGCAAATGCTTTCTTTTTATTTTGGAGCAAAAAACTATTTTAAAGGGAAATGTGTTTTTTTTTAGCTTTTGTTACTTAAGAGATCTCGTAAAGTGTCTAAACTAAATTTCGTGATATCAGAAATTGCATTGCAATTGTGTTCAGTTCTTAGATTTTTTGGGGGATTTCAATGATTTGATAAGATTCGCAAGTTTACAATTTTTTTTCTTCAGAAATTGAAACTATATCATATGCAATTTTATACCATATAAAACAATTGTATTAGTTGACGACACTATGTATAATATTTGTAATTGTATTGAAGGACTTTATCCGGTCACCAACACCGAAGTTACAACACTATAAACAATGATTGTTTTTAATATATTTTTATTCCATTATATTGCACAAAAACTGCCCTGTATCAATTATTCTTCACTGATAAAGAGAATAAAACAATATTAAAAGGCTCAAGTAGGATTGTATTTGTTTTATCATAGTCATCAAAGAAAAATACGGAGGATTTATTTTTTTTCCACACTCTAATGTAACAAATTTTAGAGATTTTTTTATATTGGAAACAATTTTTCTGCATTTTCTGCAATTACTTTTGTAAATCAAGGAGAAAATACAGAACGCCTTCTTCTAATATAAATCCTATTATTCATAACAACTTCTTTTAATTTTCTATTTTGCTTTTTAATAAGTATTCGCAATCTGGCTCAATATATTAATACTGATAAAGAGAACACATTTGTTTGTGATTTGCCTTTATTAGTTTTGTACTCACTTTGAAATTCAAACAAAAGCGAATATTTGAGTCATTCAGTACCGGGTGTCCTGAATAAATGTAATGTTTGACCTGGTTTATAAAAGAACGCTTTGCTGTTCTTTTTTTAAAGACAAAAACAACATAAATGATATAAATAAAATATCAAATACTAAGCGCTTCTTATGGATAATTATAAAGAAATGAGCTCATGTCGAGACTATCATGTCGTTTTAATCTTATTGAAAGTTGAACACCAAAGTCTCTCTCTCTCTCTCTCTCTCTCTCTCTCTCTCTCTCTCTCTCTCTCTCTGAATTTATATGCTATCGTTTCGCGCTGACGTTAAGCAATTATCAATCAATCCACATATAGCAAAATTATATACATATACATGTAATAAATGTACATTATACATGTACATCAGTGGTCCATTGCACGGACAATGATATTAAAATCATTGCCAGCAAATTGAATGTTTTGCAGCAGTCGACCTTAACTCATTTAGATATATTTAAGTGACTTAGTCATGTGTGAAAAATTTTAATATATGAAAAAAAATAATTGTAGTACTTATTTTGTATAGCATACATACGGTCAAGTCCTGAATATATCTTTAATATTTGCTCCCAAGCAACACACAACCCTGGTACATCCAACTTTACCAGTAAACATGAAAGAACCTGTTACATTAGATGCATACTGACTAAAATAATATTAGAACAAAAGGTTTATACCTCATGCAAATCTGAGATTTACAAATATCAAATTCTAAGACAATTGACGTTATTTATACGCAATTTAAAAAAGTACTAGTTTTGTTTTAAGGCGTAGGGCTTGTCAAAAGTTCGTGTCTTTCCGTAACATAACCATTGAAACGAAATTTCAAAATACGTTTTTAAGTTTATATTTTCTGCTAATGTAACTATTCAATATGTTAGCAGCAAGCTTCTTCAAATCTAACGGCTCATAGAAGGTGAACTTCAAAATATTTCAATCTAGTTTTGCAAAAAAAAATAAAAATGATCATGTTTTTGTTGTTGCAGATAAGAAAGATTCCTCGCGAAGTGGAGATGAAGAAACATCCTCGCATTTACTAAAAACAAAGAAACCAAGAAAAGCACGAACTGCTTTTACTGACCATCAGCTCAATTCACTGGAAAAAACGTTTGAGAAACAAAAGTACCTAAGCGTTCAGGATAGGATGGAACTTGCTGCTAAACTCAATCTGACAGATACACAGGTCAAAACTTGGTATCAAAATAGAAGGTTTGTTTTATTTATCATTATATCTAATTCACCTTTAAGAAGGTGTATCTACATCGCCGAGTTTTATCGAAATCGTTTGTCATGTGCACTTTCGTAGACTGCGTTTAAGTTATAAACGTTTGAGCATTTTTTCAAAAACCATCAGATAAAAATTTAAACATACTTTTTAAATTTGTATTAACAGCGACGTTGACTTTGGATTCGTTCTCAAACTTATAGTGTTAGAATGAACTTCCTTCAGATAAACTATAGCTTGAATAAAAGTCTTAATGCCAGGATTTTATTTTTTTATTGGTATTTCATTTATCTACGAATCACACTGTAGGTGATCTTGAAATATAGTAATGTCTTCTATTTAGAAACCCTGTTGTGTATACAATGTCTTTACTTTCGGTATAGTTATTTGTTCATTGCATGTTGCTTGCCTAACGTATTGCACTGGAAGTTGAAGACCGACTAGTACGGTGACATATATATACGTTTACCAGACAGCAAGCACACAACACGAATAAACAAAAAGGGAACAACTGTTAGCTTTATCGACATTAATTAGATATAAGAAGATGTGGTATGAGTACCAATGAGACAACTCTCCATCCAAGTCAAAATCTATAAAAGTAAACAATTATAGGCCAAAGTACGGTCTTCAACACGGAGCCTTGGCTCACACCGAACAGCAAGCTATAAAGGGCCCCAAAAATTACTAGTGTAAAACCATTCAAACGGGAAAACCAACGGTCTAATCTATATAAAAACGAGAAACGAGAAACACTTATGAACCACATCAACAAACGACAACTACTGAACATTAAGTCTTGTTCTCCCCACGCCATTTAACCTGATTTTTGTATTGTACTTTTTAAGTATGATTTCTGTGTGCGATGTTATTGCCCAAAGGGAGATAATGCAATAATGTGGCAGTGACTTAGGTTGTTTTAGTGACACTGGATCGATACTGATTTTGGTGGACTGTTAACTCCGAGTTTATCATCAGTTCAGAAGTGCGTCGGTACTGACATGATTTTAAACATATACTCATTTAAAATTCAGAAATTATTAAGAAACTAAGGTTCCAACACCCTCAGACAAATTTGACCTTTGATGAATAAAGCTATTCTGTTTATCAGAAAGCTCCTATCGTTGTAGCGTATTAACGCAGCGCGGGATTTCAAATGTTTAGGTTTGAGCGTTACTGATTAAGGTAAATCATGAAAAGCGCTTCGTGCGCACGAAATTCGTGAAGTGTTCTATATATTTTTGGGATAACCAGGTTAGAACTTAGACAGAATACAAGGATGACATAAACAGGGTAATTCAAACGCATGAATCGAGGATGTATTCTGAAAGACAAACAGGAATGGTAGAATTGTTTACCTTTTTAAAAACAGGCATATCAATTTTTTTTATAATTGAAAATTTAAGCCAAATAACACAAGCATTTTTTTTTTATTGGTGTAAAAAAAAATTATATATATATATATATATAAATGATATACTTGTACATGTAACAGTTTACAATTGAACATGCAACAAATCATTACTCTGCACCCACACTTTATTCTGCAGTTATCTATCTGATCTAAAATATTTACATTTACATATTATGAAATTATTAAAGCTGGAAAAATATTGAAATCGAACAAAATTGATTTTGACTTGTCTTTAACTTTTTCTATGATAAACACAACTATTGTATTTGATTAAAATAGTTTGTAGGAAATACATTTATGAAATATGAGAAGGTTAGAAAATAACTTTTAGTACACATAAAATATGATAGATATAATATTCATATCATATTCTATAAAGTATAACATTCATTTAACATATGGGTACACGTCAGATTAAAATTTAAGCTTATTACAGTTTCATCTACATGTAATTACCCGTATAAGTTGGATCAAAAACACACAAAGTTTCCCGACGTATGCAGTGATATGTTTCATGGCTTAATAATCAAATACAGAATTATAAAACACTGTCACGTTTGTGATTCAGAATTTTTTTTCTTCCAAATATTCGCCTAATGCTTATTTCTCAAATTAGTACGATTACCTGCGAATGATATTTTATATATACCTGTATCATTGCCAGTTTTAGTACTAGGTCTCTAATCTTTATTTGGTATTAATAACTTTCATGCGAAATCTTTCCCTGAATTATTTATCAGAAGCACAAAACGTGTCCGTATATTTGAGTAAATTTCTAAACTTTTAAATTAAATAAAGTAACAATGAAAGAATGATATGAAAAAAAAAATCAACTTGTACTGCAGGATAAAAAACGCAAATCTATATATATACTTTTTTCCCTCAATATAAACAGAACTCTGACTAACAGTTAAAGACATTAAGCCACAAAATTTAAAAATCACTTAATTCTTTTCAGATGTGTTAAATGTTTAATTTGAACTAAATTGAAAGGTACCGAAGCATTAAATACAGGAAACAATTTTATAAATAAATCCTTAACAAATATATAGTATAATTGTTAATGTGTTATAAATAAGTGATATCTCGCTGGTATAATTTGTCTAACGCCAATTATTATATATTCCACAAAATAACTTTCCTCTCAATCTGTGACACACTAATCAAAGTGAATCCGTTAGAATTGTATACATGTAAAATCTTAATCAATTATCCGATTCAATGATATGAAGTCTATTATTTTTTCGTTCTACTATTCATTACAGTCAATTTTCTCTTGTATATGGTGGTGTTAAATTGCGTGTGTTTGTAGCGCGAATAATTCACTAAACCCCTTCCCTATTCTGATTATTGTCAATTTTGACTTGATATTGTGTGAGATCTACAGCTGTCGGGAGACTATTTTGTGAAATAAATACAGTCCAATTCATGCTTCTTATTGAAAATGAACGGTTTTCGTAATATTAATAGTCGATTTACATACCGTACGTACTGACCTCGTCTAATCTTCTGTATATCAACTTAAAATATTCAAGAAGTTATATTGAATTTATTGATACGGGTTTTTATTGACCATCTTTAACACTATCTTAAGTCGCAAGCAATACAAATAATCGTTGAATAATTTATAAGCTGTAAAATGTAAGAACAGAGAGCTTGATGAAGAAAATTGACATCAATTATTCTTCAAAATTGACTTTAATTGTAAACTATTAATGTATTTTCTCTACGATTAGAACGTATGTAAATGAGTCTGATCTCTTAATTAGTTAGGTAGATGTTAATTTCTGCTTAATTGCGTAGGCATAACGTTGTATGTAAAATAGCGGAATGGCAATTTAAGGCCTAACAGAATGAATTTGTTTGATCATTAACTTTTGATATTAATGCCATTTTAACTTTGTTTGATGTCATAATTTAGAGTGTTGGCGTCTGTCAACAGATCTGAATTTTCTAAATAAGATCATGAATACCTAAAACTTGTGGTTTAATTTTAAAAGTCATTAAAGATGCATTTTTTTTATTCAGCTCATTTGCATAACTATCTTTTTTTATTTAGTCATTGTTACGTAACATAATCCTTTCAGATTAAAATTAATGAAATCTGAATACAAGAAAAAATAAAGAAAAAGAAAGTTTTTTTCTTCTTGATAGGATTAAGCTCCCTTTCAGTAAATCATACAGTCATCCACCCAAAACAGACGAGAATAATGATTTATAATTATAATTATTCAGTCTGTGTTTACGCCTAGCCAATATTTATCATTTCAGAACAAAATGGAAACGACAAACTGCAGTTGGTCTTGAGTTACTTGCTGAAGCTGGAAACTATGCAGCAGTTCAGCGCATGCTCCAAAGCAATCCATACTGGTTTACATACCACCCACAAGCAACAAATATAATCTCTAATTTTGACGCCTTATATTACCGCCAAGGCGAATCAACTTTGACGTCACCACGACCTACACTTCCGCGGATGTTTATTCACGGGATACAGCAACACGTTAATCACCTGAGCACACCGCCAGTTTTTTCACCAGAAAACAGAAGCTGATCTCATTTTAGTGTTCATAAATTAACAGTTCAATTGACTAGTATTCGCCGTACGGAGCCCCTGTTGTTCTGAATGATTCATTGGTGTAAACTGATGTTTAATATGGTTGACTGCTATCCATTGAAAGAAAACACTTTTTAATTATGGAATTAATTTTCTATAGTAATATATGGACTCATTTCAGGAATCTGTATCGAGACACTTTGTGCAATATGATAAAACAATATAAAATAAGTTATATACAGTTAACTAATTCTTATTTGCGTATGTATTTTGTATATTCTCACATATATGTACAGGAACCATTATACTGTAATATTTCTTTCTTTATTTATTGTTTCAATTTTAAATTGTTGTAAATAAAACGATATTGGCCGAAGTAGTACTGTCTTTATTCTAAGACAACAGTAAATAAAAAAGATAAACATAAAAACAAAAGGTTATGGTTTTACTTAATGTACTCTACTCTTTTGTCAAAATTTTATTTAAAAAGAGGGTTTTATGGTGTGTTTATTATTGTTACAAAATCCGTAAGATACCAAGAGCAAAGAAAAACGTGTTACTGCTGTTCTTCAAACAACAATTGCATGCAAAGAGACAGTCCAATGCAGTGAGGCCGTCAACTTTGAATTTGAAATTCCAGACTGCCTGTAGAACAAATTAGAGCGGATGTCTCTGCTTGATGTCGATAACCTTAAATCTACAGTTGGACATCAGTTCTTACAAATAAAAAAATATTTTTTTACTAATTTTAATTTCAAACTTTGAGAAACAATCGAACTTAAAACATTCAAATCTTACAACATCAAGCAAAAGAAATTTTATACCAAGAAAAGATGAAAACTCGAATTAATCCATAAAACTAAAGGAAATATGTTTTACAGAGAAGAAAATATTGAAAATGGACTTCTAGACTAGAACTGTTCTAAATCACGACGAAACAGCGGCTCTAATTACGTCATTTAGAAATGTTCTGCACTTTTTTATGTCTAGTTCTCTTACATATTTTCTAGCAGTTATGAATAAAGGTTAGAACTGATCCTAACTCTATGCAGCAAAATAAGGATGAAAGTTATATGAACAATTTACTGATTATAATGGGCTAAACAATCTAACAAATCCTTTCATAAGCTGCTCAAAACACCAAAACCATACAAACATTTAGACGAAATAGATTGGAGTAATTGGTTAAAAAAAAAGAAAGAAAAATTATTTAGTCGTAGGCAAAAAGTAAACATAAAAGTCACAAATATGAAACCGAAAACAAAGTTCTTTTGACATCGATAAACGGCTTGTGTACGATTACATCGATAAACAGAACGTATCCGTTGACATCGATAAAGAGAACGTATTCGATGACATCGATAAAGAGAACAGAAGTATCCCATGACACAGATTGTCGATATTGGTTAAGATATATAGTAGTTGTGACAAGTTTATTAAAAATAATTAAGGATTGTAAACAAACATTTGAACACTTCATATTATATACAGGTGCTTCCGGCATGATGCTTAGTATACTATGAAAACTTTATAGTTGAAAACGGACTCCATCTTGAAATCTTAAAATTTTAGATACAATTTTGTAGATAAATAACACGATACATAAGATACGAAAGAGCTTCTTTATAGTTGTTTGAATGGTCTTGAAGCATACCACGATAAAGTTATAATATTTTATTTCTGGAGATTTATATGCAATGTAAACTTAATCGTTGTTGAGGCTTTATTAAGATTTATTATCGGGTTTGTACTAACATGAGCAACACGACAGATGCCACATGTGGAACAGGATCTGCTTGCCCCCTTCCGGAGCAACTGAGATCACACCCAGTTTTTCGTGGTTTTCGTGTTGCTCAGTCTTTAGTTTTTTATGTTGTGTTTTGTGTACTGTTGTTTGTATGTTTGTCTTTTCTTTTTTTAGCCATGGTGTTGTCAGTTTATTTTCTACTTATGTTTGAATGTCCCTTTGGTATCTTTAGCCTCTCTTTTAGTGAAAACATGGTACAACTACAGGCTTACACTTATTTAGAAACATTGTTTGCAAAAAAAACAAATGGCTAGCACAACTGTTAGCTCTTAAGCACTAAGCAATTAAATAGTATCTCTTCTACATTCAAAATAAAAGTATGTCATAGTCCGTTTAATGAGGTATCTTTTCGGAGAATGTACACTGCACTTTACTCACAGTCCAGAACGTCAAGTGTTTTACGTTCTAGCTCACACAATCACAGAAAATAAATGTCATGCTATGTTGTATACCCACTTTACTTCCGTATTCCAAGTTACTATTCAGAAACTTTACTAATAAATGAATCTGACCGTGTCTTGACGTGTACTTCTAAGATTTGATTAACCCTGGCATAAGAATATAAGTATAAGAGAAACACTGAAATTGTGTTAAAACTATAAGTAAAATTATAAGACAATGGGTGACCCAAGCTATTCCCCTATGGATAAAATCTACAAAGTAAAATCACAAAGATATGCACACATGTAGACAACAACAAAGGTTAGAATCTGAGAAAAACCAATAAAACTGCTCATTAAAAAGTTCTTCTTAGGAAAGGACAAATATCGTATTAACACATGAAATAAGTTTGTTATATCAGAAAATAATTCAAATCTCTAATCTCAAAAATCACAGAACATTATACAATACTTATAATCCTAAGATTTTCCTTTTTTCGCTTCAAATATACAAAGGCCGCTTCTATTTCTTGACTTATTTTGAAATAAGCCGAGAAATTTATGGATACGATCTCTTAATGCAATACACATCTCTGAGCAAATTCAGCCATGTTAAATAGAAAATCAAAATTTGAAATACAGACGACAGTATAGAAATGTAACGAGTCAACAGAACACTGATCTTTGATAGTTTCTGTTTAATTCATCAACAACTTTTTTCAAATGTTGAACATATCTTCGTGTATAATTTTGTGAGAAAAAAGTGTCTTGTGCTGGTGTCTTTTGTTTATAAATACACATATCTGTGTGTTTGATTTGTGCCTTTTTATTGTTAGAATGTTTTGTAATTTCCATATTGGGCTAATCATTTTTTTGTCTGGTATTGTAGAAATTTCTGCTTAATTTTCGGATCCCTGAATTTGGAAGGATACACCTGTACACTTTTCAGATTTTTTTTCTTCAGATTTTCTACGTTAGTGACTTTTTTACAAATGTTGTTTGTCCCAGTAAACAATTTTTTGTTGAATTGCTTGCTTTTAAATTGTCTCATCTAAATTGTGAAATTACCGAATTAGAGTTAACACCGAATTCGTACTTACCATGAACAACACGACGTGTTTCACACATGGAGCAGGATCTGCTTAGTCTGCTGTGGCATCTGAGGTCATCCCCGGTTTTAAGTGGGATTCGTGTTGATCGGTAGTTAGTTTTATATGTAGTGTTTTTGAAGACTGTTGTTTGTCTTTTTGTAAATTTTTATTTTTGCCATGATTTTGTCGTTCTCTGTTCGACTTCTTTTGATTTTGTCGTTCTCTCTTCGACTTCTTTTGATTTTGCCTCTGGTATCTTCTGCCTCTTTTTTTCACCTAACTCGGCAGTTTCAAACAGTATAGATAGCTATGTTTATTTTTAGCATTATAAAAGCATTATCATTTTCAGAAACCATTTAACAAAATACGGTCATTACCACACAAGGATTTTTATGCGTAAAACTTTCAAATTAAATGTGTCATAAATTTGACTATAATGTCAAACCAAATAATATACACCTCTATATTACACCTCCTATTATAAAGTAAATGATTACAAATGTGGTATACCGTCTGTGCTTTATAGTTTATTATGACAGTATATCTGATACGTAGATTTATAAACTGATAGATGATCGTGTATTATTAAAGTGGTCACAACACATAGTTATAGGCGACACTGATAGATGGTGAAGTGTGAAAAAGTTTACTTTTTAACACAGTGTCATTTGTCAGAAATACTTCCGATATATATTGCAAATCAGTAGGATGGTAGGTGGAAATATTTCTAATGCGATCTTAAACAACCCTTGCATGATATACATTTTTGTTGTTACGAATGTTTCAGCAAATATGAAAATAATTACAAATCAATACTTTTGGTATTAATTATCAAGTACATAGAAAAGTATTAACAAAAATACCGAACTCCAAAGTAAATTCAAAAAGGGGATGTAAAAAAAAGGACAAAATCAAACGTTTAGTTGTTATCAAATAGTCCGTTTCTATGTATGTTGGCATTTGTTTGTGTAGCAGTTCAGTGTTTATGTTGTTCCATTTTTTTCCTCTTATAGTTGATGTGTTTCCTTCGGTTTTAGTATGTGACCCGGATTTGTTTCAGTTAAATCGATTTATGACTATCGAACAGTGGTATACTGCTGTTGCCTTTTTTTTTTTAACTATATCAACCAAATTAACGAAAATATTCCTGACTGTGTACAGGAATTTTTCGAAGAAAATGTTTGCCTAAACCTGGTTTTAAAGCTAGCTAAACATCCCACAAGTATGACAGTTAGTTATAATTCCTTTATATTGACACAATTCAGTGATCAATCCAAATAGACATATATTCATACCAGGGGTGACAGATAACCGAGAAGTCTAGCTCGAAAGTTACTGTTTTTCTGTTATGGTTTTACATTAATTCTGGTCATATGCAAAAATGACACAAATATGATAATTCTGTCTGTTAACAGATTATGATGATTCCAAGTGATAATTCTGATCATTTTAAAAATGTACCAGATTGAATGGTTGATTACAAATGTAAGCTAACATCTCAGAACTAGAATCTATGACAAACGAGACGATTTTAATTTTGAAATTATCAATTTCCCCCACCTTACCAGCAATATACCAACTTCATCTGCATATGGGATATACATTTCTTAACTCATTCGGTATTCAAGAGCTTGTAGCTGCTACTCAGACTTTATCAAACGTCACCAGTTTCTGAGCAGAAAGTTGATGAACCAGGTTTATGTCAAAGAACGTTCGTCCTATTTCTATAAAGAGTTCATCGGAAGATACCAAGACCTTATTGATGAATATTCCGTATCAACTTCACAATTAATACATGATGGTCTTGAAGTATAGATTCTAGGTACTGACGTTGTTTATCATCTTAATTACGTGTTATAGTGTTCTTTTATTTGTCTTTGTAAATTATTAACCTTCACTGTTTAGTCCATTTTTGGTAATATCCTTTTGGCGTACCTCGGTACTTATACATCCTGCCATTGTGTTATTGTGCTATGGTAATATTTTGTATTCTTGTCTTTCGTTTTTGCTTATGTGCTTTGTCTATATGCAATGTTGTTTTTCTTTGTTGACATATTTTTTTGTTTTATAGTGATTAAGATTATAACAC